TCATGCTCTACGTTTGACAAAAGAGTTCCAATGCAGTCTTAATTGAACGTCAAAGACGAACGTTTGGGCAATGTCGATCGCCTGAAGGCTAGAAGTGATACGTGGGGCATCAATTGTGCGGGAGGGCCCGCAGATCTGGGAAGGTCAATTGATGGAGAGACGGGACTTTCGCTCGATCTATGGACACTGTTGTACAATTACAAGGGCCAAAGATAATAGCGACATGATGATATCTTGAGTAGGCTCCAAGCAAGGCCTTGGGGATATGTAGCTGCCCCTTAGAGCGTCTCTGCATAACGCAACGGCCGCCGCCGTAACCTCTCTGAAGCCGAGTTGCTAGCCTCCCTATCCTCCCATCGTCTTTCATTTCCTCCTTCGAGATCAGTAGCGCCGTCGGTGCACTTCCGTTTCTTCGCTCACTGATGCCTCGGCGGGTGGGAGCCGAATTGCTTCTCGAAGTCAGCCAATGTACCTGCCATTCTGGTCTCGTGGTAGGCCTTGCTGGCTGTAGCGTCGGTGCCTTGGTTGTGGACGTGGTGCATGTTGCTGTGGCCAGAAGACTGACTGTACGCGGAGATTCGATGTGCGAATAGAGCGCCGTTCGATTCCGGGGTAGAATGCGTGTGTGGTGACTTTCCCGAGGTACTCCTGGAGGCTTTGCGTTAGCACTTTGCTAGTAATTGTGCCATCACTGACATAGGATCGTTGTTCAAAGTACCCATATCGAATTGAATCTGTAGAGTTCATGTTGAAACTTGAAGTCAAGGCCGTTTCGACGACCACCCGGGTGGGAAGGGCACTGGTATTATTCGTGGATTAGGACGCAATGGAACTCCCTATGAATGTTTCACCGCGCCGGGAGCGTTGAGAAGCTGAATGGTATTGATTTACTACGCATGGTCACCGCATCAATGTTCGAGCGGCGATTTGGTCAATATAAGACCATGTGCCCGGCGACCCAGGCTGCGAAGTGGAAAATCCTATGCCCTTACTTTCTTGTGTTAAAATATGGGTTGGTCTCGGAAAACTCCAAATGTTGAGCTTGGTCATTGAATCACCCGCCAATACCCATCGGCCACCAAGTAAGGCAACCCAAATCCAAGCATAGATGTGCATTTTGCTGTCTTCTTCCCATGTCGGTGTAGATAGCTATGGTGGGGGTTGTCCCCTGCTAGTGCGGATTGGACATCGTCGACCCCGTGGGGTTAGCCTCGATACAAGCATTTCCAGAATGGACCTTACGATGCGCCAACGCAACCAGTGTCTTTGATAAGTCGAGAATAGTCAAATAACAGAAATCACCATGACCGAGCTCCAGGCACTATGTTAGTGATATTGATGCTATCGTCGCCTTGGGACTTGGTGGAGTTGACGAAACAGGCAAGGGTACCCTACCACAGGTACTGCGACATCATGATTTGCTCAACGACGGGATGACCCGTGTTATATATGAGAAGAGTCTTGGCATGACACGATATGATGTTGACAAGATGGTAGCACGCCGGAGGAAATATTTGGATGATCAGGTCCGATCTTCCGAGGACGAGGTGACTTCATGTCCCGATCACTCCGGGGTCGGGTGACGTCCGGACTCGGACGTTGACTCGGACGTGCCGGCTTTGCAGGCGGATCGGACGGAATCGACTCGGTTCCGAACTTTCGGTCCCTATCAAGTCTAGATTATCGAAAATTGAACATCACTTGATGCCACAGTAACTAGCCGCTCGTCCCTGCGGCGCTACGAGCTTTGATTGTCTATTTCCAGAATCATCGGAAAGAAGCTTAACAGCAAAGAAATATCGTATACCGTACTGCCTGCTGGGACTTGACAATATCGAGGCCCCTACGGATACGCCCCTTCAATTCCAGACCGAAATCGAAGGCCGTCATCTAACACGGATTAACTCGGGGACTCAAACTTTTGCCGGCATGGTTTTTCCGGGAGGGTGGAAAAAAACGTTGATTTGAGGCCTCGTTATCTGGGCCAAGACCCCAGACAGGATATTGTGACTTGTCGGTGTGAAAACAGGGCGATGCTGCATATGGCGAGCGTCGACGAGGCCCAATCGATGATCTTATACGAGCCACATGATTGACTTGGTTGGTTCTGCGTGAACATTGCGTAAGGCGTTCCAACGCGCCTCGTTTAGTAGCGTGGACGCCTCGTGCGGGGACGGGCTGCCTTGTTTCTTTGCCTGATTTGAGGCAACGATAGATCGCGATGTCCGCCAAAATGGCTGCCTCGTCTCTCTTGAGATGGTTCGCCATTACTCAAGTCAGGTGACGCTTCGGGTCGGAGGTGATAGTGGATACCGAATGTGGGTCCATTCCCGGCATCGAGTTCCTTCGGAGTGATTTCGAGATATTTCTCGTTCGAAATGGCGATGTTGACAGCGATGCGATGGCCGAGAATTGCGCTTATTGAAGCTGCGTGAATCTGAACGAGCGTCCATAAGGTCAGCAAAGGGAATTTTGAGTCGACATGTTATTCTCACCGCGCGCAGACTCTCGAAAGAGAGCGAAGCTTTATACCATTAGCTCCCGGACGAAAGCTGCGGGAGGCCTTCCAACGCCAGCCTGAGCCCAACGCAAAAAGAGCGTGTCGCGAGCAAATAAATAGGTGTCGAATTGTAGAGACTGAGGGAAATGCTTGTTTTGTGTCAATCTACTTTGGTTGAATCAAGAAGTGTGTTTTTGGCAAAGGAGTGGCATTTTCAAGATATAATAAGAAGTGGCATCTTCAAGATATAATTCAATGTCGAGCCCCGTCCTTATGCACGTACGGACACGGACACGGACACGGAAGTCGTTGTAAATCGGCCAGATGAACGAACCATTACCTCTGAATCAGATCAGAATTGTATGGTTTTATATAGAAAAGTCCTAACATTTCCTGCAGGCTGCATCGACTGAGACTATTTCTCGAATGGTGTGCCAGTCCGCGCCAGACGTATTCCCTGCCACAGTCCTGGCTACAGGGGTATGCATATGCGCCTGATGATGATGGCCCATCCCTCAGCAAATCCTTCTCGGACATCTCATTTCATTCGCCGACGTATCACCCCTGCCACAGTCCTGTTTTGGGCTTCTTAGGGGCCAGAGAGTTCGGATCGATGGGTGTGCATATGCGCTTTCGTGGCTCTGCAGCGCCCTGTGAGGCACCCGTGTCTCTGACTTTGAGGTCGACCATCCGGCGCTCTGCGAAGATTACATCGCTCTGCGCCCAGTTGAAATTCCTAAGATATAATGCCTGAGTCACTCTGTTGACTTCGGAGAAAATTGGCAAAATATATATAAGAAGCTTCGAAATCTAGTTTGATGTTGTGAGGACATTAAATTCGCTGGTAGCTATGCCTAAGGAGATTTTGCTCGAGGAACATAAATCGGAAGGGTGCCATGTAGGTAATCGTCACATAAATTCTCAGGTGTCCCCAGCAAAAGGAGACTGCCCTATCAATGCACACGGTACTGTATCTACCACCACACCATCCCGGACATTCACACCGGACTTTCTCACGAACGGATCAATGTGCAGGGATATTTTATGAACTAAATGCACGGTATTTTCAATGCACATCGGTCTGCCTCAAAAATATGTCTCTGCAGCCCAGAGCCATTTGTTCAGATATTTGTCCTTCACGGGGTCACTGATGGTTGATCGAAGAAGGGAGGGAGAGAGAGAGATAGAAGGAGAAAGGGAGGGAGCATCGATGCTGTCGGCTGTTCCCAATGCCATGCTCGGGTTGAGATTTTCATAGCACAGGGGTCCAGACTCCAGCCAGACATTCCAGCGAGACAGAGAGAAGCCGAAAAAGACGGGCACAGCGTGCCAATGGGGCGTAAAGGTCGACGAAGTTCGACGAGATACGGCTAGCTTCCCCCTCCTTCAGAAGGAGACGGGCTGACGCTATCCAGGGGTTGCAGGTGGGGGAGGGGGGCATGGCGACCCGCGAAGGAATTGAATCCCCGCATGACAACCATCATACCGCCGTGCCATCATGCAAGTCGAAAGCAACCAACTCGAACCCTGCAGCCCTGCATTAGTACCTTATACTGCCCATACAGTAGTACGTACAGAACAACGAACGTCATGCCTCAAATATCTAGATTAGGCTTCATCAGGGCCAACCTATTCCTGAACAAAGGGTCAATTGCTTCATATACACAATTGAGCTGCCCTTATGGGTACCGGATCAACTCCCTGCTGCGTCTACTTGCTCCAGGCTCTGAAAAGTAAGGTAGTCTTGCCGAGATTGCCCGACGAATAATGCCGCTATCGTGTGTGCGAGAACGATGGTATCCGCATCTCCTGCAATGGGCCAGGTCTGCATCCTGTACAGCGCATTGAAACCATCAATAGGCTAGTAGACGTCGAGTTGTCCCGGTCATACCGGAAGTCGATGACTAGGCAGCTGACGTGGCAAGACCAGCATTTCAGGCGACGAAAGGGAAGGCAGTGATGAGGACGGCAGCGGGCCTGCTGATACCACTCAAGGTGAGCATCACTAGTATCGGGGTGATCAAGAAAAGCCACTTGTGGAGCGAGTCGTATCGGGAATTTGCATGGTGCGCCTTATCAAGAAATACAGTAGGTATGAAGACTGAGCGAGTTCCAATAACGAAAGTACGCCCGGGGCGTGCTTCAGTGATAGAAGTCGCGCTTATTTGACCAATGAAAAAGTGTCAAACGTTTCCATACTCGAGGTACTCGCTCTGCTATTCACCTCGACTAAGGTATATCTTGATCCTGATTGTGGTTATCTACATCGCCGTGCCATCAAGGTACTCTAATCTACGCTCTCTTCATGCAACGATCATATCTGGTTATATGATACGCGACATTCTTATATCAAGTTACCTGCTCTGCCACCACTGATGGATAGCTCTGGATTGTTCAAAAACGCCCTGGCAAGGAAGGTAATGCATGGAGCATACAATCCTAGTGGAAGAGCTGGGGGCGGGTGTGGCAATACAGATGGCAAGCACACACTCCGTGTGGTGTTGGTGATTTTTCGTTCTGAAATTGCATCTCGGCTTCCATTGGAAGCGCTATCTATGCTTCTCCGTCTTAGCCTTTATTGGTGGCTGTGACTCAACACCGTATAGACCTCAACATACACTAGCGACCAAGGTTATTGACAACACTGCCTACCATGACAGCGACCTCTCGATCCCAGTTGCCTTCCCCTCTTCCCTTGCCCTTGAGCGCACTCGGCATCTGGCACCCTCTCACAACACACTCCCTCACAGCATCGCCAACGCTCGCCCTATTGGACCTCAGCGTGCGCGCAGACACCCCACCACGATTCACAATCTCCTGTACCCTCGTGCCCAGGTTTCCAGCCATCGTCCGCCAAAAGTAGCTCGGTAGGCTACCTGTTTCCAGATACGCCAACAAAGGCTGCAGCATATTGGTCTGCTTCTGAGGCGCCGACACGAGTGGGTGCGCAGGCAGCTTCGTGGACTCGAGGACAAGCTCGAGAGCAACGATGTTCTGGCACCGCGCCGAGATTTCGGCAAGAGTACGCTCGAGGGAGGGAAGCTGGCCTAGCGAGCGCGAGAGCGAGGCAATAGACGATTGTAGCGCCGAGCGGAAGTATGTCTCCAGGCTCTGCAGGAGTAGCTGCGGCGTCCATCGTTCCGTCTTTTGCGTCGGTGCCGGAGAGAGCAGGAACAGCGTGATCATGGCCGATACTGTCCTTGCCTTGACTTCCTCGCCCTGCGCAAAGGTAGCCGAGTTGGGAATCGCAAAGTCGCGAATAATCTTCTCTGCCGTCTCCTTGACAGATCTCTCAACCGGGGTGATTATAGACTCCCGAAGAGTGCGAATCGCATCGACCTTGCCCAGACCGTGACCCTCTTCCCCTGGCGCCGTATTATCAAGCACCTCTCGTAGAGACAAGATGGTATGCGAACACCGTACCAGCGCTCGGTGGTCCTCCTTCTTCCCAGCAGCAGCGGCCGCAGCACTGACGCTGGACCCCGCGATCTCAGTGTGCTGGACCTCAAGCTGCCTCCCGAGCTGCAGACAACGTCCCACAGAGCGACCGAGCTTCAGTGTCTCCCATAGCCTCGTCGCAACCTGCCGCACTTCCTCGGCCTCAGCATGCTTATCAATGACCTCCTTCTCGAGCTGCTTGTAGCTGTCGTTGAGGTTCTTGATTTGGGCGTCGAGCTCTGAAATAATGCGCTTGCTGGATGTCGTCTGCTCTTTCGTGTATTGCAGGAGAGGGGCTGCAGACTTTGTCGTCAGGACATCGATGTGGGAATCGATCTCTTGGGTGTCGAATAGCACGCGGGAGAGGGGAGTCGAGAGATCTAGGGGCGCATCGTTGGGGTTGTTCGTTGCGAGAACGAGGGTATTTGCGAAGGAGGAGGGGCTGAATTCGGGATCGAGAAAGGCTTCGTAGTCGATGTAGGAGGGGTCCTCTTCTTCGCGGGTCGTCATGATGGGCGGGTATGGGCCATTGACTGTCGTGGAGTCAATGTGTGTTGGCGAGTCTGTGTTGTGGCCCTGGAGGGATTGGGCGTGGGAGCTTGGAGGGGGTAGCTCTGGGAATTGTTGATTGCGATGCTCAAGCTCCAGCTGTCCTGTCTCGGTCGAGGGGCGGTACGTACTGTGCGTTCATGAATTGCCTTACGTAAGTCGGGGACATCAGCCACACTGGAGATCAGCCACATATGTCAGGACTTCTGTCGCCCCGCAATTTGTTTCTCTCAGCCACAAGTTTAAACCCGCCATTTCCTCTCTCGAACTCACCGATGACGCCGTGTTGCTATACGCGGATAGCTTCAGTAGACCAAAAGCATATTCCTCCAGATTTTATGTTGCGCGATATACAGCAAGTGCCGTCTTTCTGCTTCTAGCAGGAGCACCAGCCGTAAGCCCATTGATTCTTGAGTAGGTGGTCAGTCATTCACAATCTCATGATCAAACCATTTGCACAGCTCACTCACCTGTTTACTTCCAGATCCCGGAGCTTCGGCATCTCCACTGACGATCCCAAAAGAGGAAAAAACAAAAAACACAAATCCGCCGCTCCCGGCCATTCCGTTTCGCTCCTCTCGGTTTCCCATCTCTTCCCGCCGCCGCCCGAACGCTTCCCCATTCCCACACCACACAACGACCACAGTCTGGCACCACTTTCGGCACCCAGTAATGCAGTGGAGAAGCAGTCTGTCATCAATGATCTGCGGGTAGCGGGTACCGTAGCGTCCCATCCCCGGCACCTCAATCACCAACCTACTGCGCAGTAGCCTGTACTGCGGTATGTAGGTGGTCGGTCACTGGTTGTTGGTCACCAAGGTAGCGTGCCAATGCGCTGACTACTCGACCAAATAACGCGCCTAACTGAAAAAAAAATCCCCTCCCCCATCTCCGCCTTTCCGGGCGTTCCATGAACCATATTGTCATAATACATCATTTCTCGCCAATTCCTCTTCTACCTACTCTCGCTCTTCCCACCTCTCTCCCGCCCTCCTCCTCTTCGACGCAATGCCATCCCTAACTTAATCACCGTCGCCAATCTCTCGCCGAGAGCACGCACACTCAATCGATCAATCCCTCCCCGCAAACGACCGAAACAAAACATTGGACGACGGCCGATCGACGGAAACAACAACACCGGCCACAGGCCCCGCCCCCGAGCGACACCTCCGGACGACCCGGACCAAAACATCTCGACACCTCCCCGTCCGATCATACACTCGAGATAATAACCCGATCAGACGACGACGTCCAAACCACCGCCCACAATGCTCCATTCCCGCGCCCTCCTCGCCTACCCCCAAGGCGCAAACGACTCCGACACAATCCTCGGCGGCGTCCACTTCAACCTCACCGTCCTCCGCTTCTGGAACTACACCCTCTACACAAACGGCACAGTCTCCAACGGCTCAAACTGCTACGTCACAGAACAGCCCTACACACCAGTCTACCTGCTCCCCAACGGCACATTCCAAAACTCAACATGGTGCTACGACCCCGTAAACCCAATCGGCAAGCGCGCCGGCGTAGGCGTGGGCTTCGGCGTCGTCTACGCCTTCGCCCTCATGTTCGTCCTCGCGAACCTGAACCGCCACGGTCGGCACTACCTCCCGACGACGAAGCGGTTCTATCCCATCGGACGCCGGTGGCAGTGGTACTATGCGATTCTGGTCTGCGTTGCGGCGTTCATCAGTCTCTTCACCAACATCGACGTCGACCGCTTCTACGTCATCGGGTTGCCCATCATCATCAACAGCTTCTTCTGGTACCTCATGCAAATGTTCACCATTGCGCTGGTCTGGGAGGCCGTCCGCCACTGGGGAAGCTGGAGCGAGAGACAGGCTATCGACCCGGACCCCTTCTCCCTGCGCGAGGGTGACCGCCGAAGCAAGCTCGAGTTCTGGATGCCATTGTGGTTCTACCTATGGCTCTGGCTGGTACGTCTCCCCTCTCCCCATCTATTCTCTCGAGAACACTCGAAATCTAACACAAACCTTGACAGAACTTCTTCCTCATCATCCCCCGCAACTGGGGCGAAATCGAAAAACAACGCTCCCCAGACCAAACCGCCGCCCGCGCCGCCCCCTCCGCGACAGACGCCCGCTTCAAAGCAGCAACCTTCTGCCTCGTAGTCTGCTTCCTCACCATCCTCGCCTCCCTCCGCCACTCCATAAAACACTACTACCCCCGCAACCGCGGGCCCCTCAACAAGTTCGCCGGCCTCCTCCGCTACACCCCCTGGCGCTTCCTCGTCATCCTGCCCCTCACAGCCTGCCTCATCGCCTACCAGGGCCTCGTCTCCTGGAACTTTGCCTACTCCGTCCTCAACGCGAAAGCAAGCCTGGCGGCCGTCTACGCAGGAGGATACGGTCCGGCGCTACTGATTCTCTACACACAAATCGCGTACGGCTTCACCTCCCCCAACGAAGACAAGGAACTCATCCGCCAGCGCCGCGAGCGCGGCACGCAAATCGACCGGGAGATGGGATACGTGCCCAAACCCGCCTGGTGGCGCCGCGCAAAGAACGACGACCACCTCGTCGGCCAGATGAGCATGCGCGAGCGCATCGCCCGCAACGTCCGCGAACTAGGCGGTGGACGCGCCACGGGCCGCGGCATAGACGAGACCCTCGAGGCGCGCGCGGCCGAACACGAGCAGCAGCAGCAAGCCGCGGAACGGGAGATTGAAATGGGTAGCTTCAACGGGCGCTCATCGAGACCGAATTCCATGCACGGGTCCCTTCGACCCGGCTTCGACGCGGCGGATCCGTCAACGTTTACTTCCTATACTGGAAAATCAGACCGCCGGCGGAACGAGAGGGCGATGAACGCCGCTGCGGAACTCCTCTTCCCTGGCGCCGGACCCCGCGTCGACCGGTCCGCGGAACTGATGCAAGACGGCCCGCCGCCGCCGTCCTACACCGACGCCCAGAGCGGGAGCGGGAGCGGGGGTCTCGGCGCGGGACGGGGACGGACGCCGGACAGTGGCTCCACTGCTCATGGACCGGGAGAGAGGAGTCACAGCGCGAGCACCGCCGTGTCCTTGACGCAGCAGCCGCAGCAGGTGAAGAGTATGTTAGATATTTGATTGGGAGATCTCCCCAATATAGGATGGGATATTGGAATCTATAAAGCTCACGAGGTATGACGATTATTTAAGAGAATGTAATTTGTGTATATCTGCCACTGGCGTTTGGAAGGCTAGTATCTGGGATTTAGAATCCAGGTTTCCTTGGACCAGCGCCGAGATATTGTTCAGAATATAACGGTAAAATTATTGTCAATGTCATATTCGTCCAGTTGGTCCTCGTGATGTAGTTCTCAGTGTATGTATGAAACAGTATGCATGATGCCTTTCATGTCGTCCTCGACTTCCGAGAGGAAACTCATGGGCGAACCCTCGCCCATCCTGTACCCGGAACCAAGAATACAGCTATTAGCAGACCAGAGCCAAGTTCATTGTTGAAGATATAATGATACGATTTCTCTCCTTATGTTTGATGGAAGACGCTTATTATCTGATATTTCCCTCGCTTCGTTCGAAGATAGAATCCATCTCCATCATGAACTCTCTGGACTTACGCATAACGCGAGAAGCCCAGAGAAGAAATCTCGCCTCGTGGACGGTAGCTTGCCGAAAACAATGCTCCGCAGCAGGCTTGACCATTCAATTCTCACTGCACAGGATGTCGAGGGAAACGTCGCGATGCACCCCGTATATCATCGACCTCTGGCCAGACCGCACTTCGCCCACCCGTTCCCTTCTCGGAGGCCGACAGCAGCCTCCATCTGCATGTCGGATAGCCGCATCCTGTCCCATCTGACAGGTCGTCTCCCCAGATCTGTCGTATCACAATGTCATCGTCGACCGAGGTCAACTCTCACATACCTCACATCGTGAACTTGGGGTACCAGTCTCGTATCGAGAGCGGTGGGGACGAGTACCGCGTCAGATCGGGACGAGCATCTCGGTCTCCGACTCCAAAAGAGCCCTCCTAGCTACTGTGCCCCTGCCAGAACAAAGCATCTTCGGATGGGATGTGCGCACTGCCCAGTATTGAAGGGATGTGTCGTTCGTCAAAAGCGTGCGTGTGCTCGGACGAGTAGCCAAAGCTTCAACTCGAACGACGAATATTCCACGTCCTCATTTGCCACCCCGCGGAAAGTTTGCACCCTGATGTAAATCTCTCTACTCAGCGACAGCATGTGAACTGAGCAGGCCTAGACTCAGAGTGCCAAAAACTTGTACCCGGCCGCATGCGAAGCTTGAGCCCATGACTCGTCAGCCGCCATCCCATCAAGAGTCCGAATTTAACACCATCCATCTGTCACCCGATGGGAGGTCAAAGCAACGGCAGACGTCGTTCATCCAATGACAGCAGCCAGATAACCCAGGAACAGATCTCAGTCGATGCGGAGAAGAATAAGAAAACCAACCACGTAGCTAGCCGCCGAGGGGGTGGGAAGGGACCGTGAGACCAGGAACCAGGAGCATGAGCAAGAAAAAGCAACGGGACCGGGTGTTGGCGATGCAGGCGGCTTCGTGCCTCGTGCCTGGAGAAGGCCTGCTGGCGCAAGACGCCTAGGTATTGCTTCTCTCATAGACTCCTATGGTAGTCTAATACCTCACGCAAAGATAAGGTAAGATGCAGGTTGGCGCCCCCCTCGGTCCCGACCAACGACTTCACCCGGGCGATGGACGCACTAGGGGCGCGCCGGAGGTTTATGCCTGGCCATAGTCATGAAATGGATCAGTCGGTAGGTCGGTCGGCGGGTGAAGGATGACTGCATGGACTGTTAGCCGGAGCGGAGGGCAAAACCGCCCACTCACACTTCAATATCAGTCCTCATCGGCAGCATTGGCATGTGTGTTCGAAACGAAACATGTCAGCCAGCGCAGCCACGGCCGTCTCTCAGCGCATGCGTTGGCTGCATGTCACGACAAGGGAGTTCCTGCGACATGCGCAGGTAGCCGAATGATGGAGACTACAAACTCGCGGATTCTCGTGGGTAAGAGGCACCAGCCAACAAGGTCTGTTGAGCAAGACTGCAGTGCTTCCAAGGGGAGGACATACTCTAGCTACTCTGACCAGAGAGGTAGAATGCTCTACGGATAGCAGTGTCTTCGGATGCGAGCCCATGCACGTCTGCATGTTGTGCGCCGCACTGGGGACAGCTCGCAGGCTACTGCGTGCGCATGCATGGCGCTATTCATGCGTCTCGTTGTACACTTTTAGCTCAGCTGGCCAGCGACGGCCTTCCAGCGTCGATACGGAGAGAAAACGGTGCGTGGCGTGAGCCGGTCGGCCGTAAGTCGTTGTATATGAGAAAAACTCGGGACTCGAGGGATGTCTGCGTGGGAGAGAGAGAGGCTTCATCCATCGTCGGGGGCCGCGTTGGTGCTGTTGCTCAGACACCGAGGTAAACCCTTGTAAAAGAGCGGTGAGAGTGACACTACGCCGGTAACAAAAGACAGGTTTGTTGGAATGTGGCCCGAAGCGCCTTGACTCTTGACCAGACACGCCAGAATGAGGGAAAAAAAAGACGCTGTCATCAGGGATGGGCCTAGCTTGATAGACGACAAAGCCAAGGCGGCGTGCAGCGTCTCTCGCAACCTCTAGATCTGCATGAGGCGAACGATCATGGAGAACGTTGTTGTCTCTCGCTTGCCGCTGGTCTTGTCTTTCGCCCCGGCCGACAAGACGGTGTGGACTATCCGTGCTCCGTCCCTATATCGAGTCAATCCATTGCAAAGACCAGTCTTGATCGCCTTTGCATCTTGCATCGCGATTGCAAGTGGGCTATCAGCATCCAACGCGGGGCAGTTGACACGAAGCATCGACAGGTGATTGTGGTGGGGATGAATCAGCTGTAGAGCAGACACTCGAATTTGTGCTAATCGCCGGTAACTGCGAGCGTGAACGCTGATTTAGGATATAACGCAACATGGCGCCCCCCGGGCAAGCCTCAGTAAAGCATACACCGCCGCGGCGAGAAACCAGTCTTTGATTTCACATACTCCTCACAGGTGGTCTGGTCCTAGTTGTGGTTGCGAAAGAGATGCATGAGACAGGTAACCTTGGACCAGTTTGTTCGCGAACTAGCACATTTGAGAACCCCACGACCATCGCGATATCTGCAAGGATTCAAGCTTCAGCCGTGCAAGCCTGCCAACGCGACAGCAGAATTCTTGAGTGTCGTTCCCAAAGACTCTCCCGTCCTGTACCTGGAGCACAATGTGGCGTAGAATGTCGCACAAAGTTGATTCAACCCCGTGGCTACGGCAGCTCCCTTGCCTGGATCACAGGTTCGGTCATGTCTTAGACCTTGGGCGGTGAGATCCAAGCGAGCGGTCACTTCGATTGACTTTTGAGGACAGACGTGGCTGGTCGCATTCAGCTGGCAGAAAGTACCCCTGAGCCACTAGATGCGTTCGGGAGAAATGGTAGCCAAGTGGCTGTGACGAAAAGCCTCGCGTCTTCCTCATGGCTTCCGGCACTCGACACACTTGGCAGGCAAGTGCTGGGTCGGCAGCCTTGTCTCGATTGGACGGACTGCCGGTTTTCGTGGTAGTTTACTGAGGCTCCGTAGAACAACTCGAGATCCAGGCTTAGTCTAAGGGACTATAACGATTCGAGTTGATGGTTGCTGAAGCTGTACAGATATGCAAACTACCACCGACCAGAACCACACCGAGGATCCGAGCTGCATGAACAGGGTCGCAGTCGAGAACGGATATGCAGATTGTCCTAGTCGGGCCAAAGCACAACACTCGCAGCAGCGTGAGAGCAGCGCGGGTGCCAATACCAATTCCAGGTACGGTTCGAGACTTCGAGTAATGCGACCTGCATATGGCTGCAGGCTTCCACGCGCGTCTCCCAAAACGGCATCCCGTCTACTGCGTATCCGTAGGTAGTCACAGCGATCCTCCGGGCATCCCATCCCCCTCCCTCGTCGATTCGCATGCATCAGCGCCTACTGCTGTCTTCTGCACTTTGTTTGAAACGAGCCAAGATTTGTCCTCGTGAGGGGGGCTACGAGGTGTGAGTGGGAGACTGGTCAGATTGCTCAACGCTCTCGTCATCCCCCATTATCAACCCGTCAACCTATAGTCGCTGATCCTGTATTGGATGCGGAGGGGTGGCTGCGATTGTTGACCAAATAACGCCGCGGGATAAAGAATGTCAGCATGTACTCTGCAGAGCTCGATGACAACGGTACAAGGAGACGCCTTGCCCGAGTCCCAGTTGCAGACTCATGTTGGCGCCAGTGACCCGTCGCTCGATGCATTCCAACCACGGCGGTTCCAAGCTTGCGTCCTTGGAAGAGCGGGCGGGATCTCGCCCTGAGTTTTGATCAGCGATCCGATGCTTGCCCGCCCATTGTTTCCGCTGACAGGCAGTAGTAGCCAGGCGCTAGGCTGCCTGTGTGCCGGCATCTTCCCAGCAGGCCGTTGACACGCGAAGCCAAGGGGCGGGGATTCCGATGCATTGTTTCATCCGCGCAGAGTCTAAAATTCCTCATTCTCCGAGCAGCGAGTACTCCGTACGGACGGCCAGGTGCCAGGATCATTTGGTGGGGGGCGCCACGCATTGGCCGACCTGAGCTGGGCAGTTCAGATTGACGCAGATACTTCGTTCATGGCCGTCACTCTGGGCCAACTGGGAGACGAGGTCTGCATCACCTGATCGGTCGGACCAGACATTTACTGGGCCCTCTATCGGTCGTTTGACACCGACGAACATTGAAAATCAACGTCGTGCTATCCGACACTTTACAGTGGCTGTGAGCTGGTGCAGCGGTTGGCGGCGCAGCGCAGATAAGCAGACGCAACGTCGTGAGAGTCATCTATGAAATTCTACATTGTCGGTGCGCTTAATGAAGGGGACGACAGAGGGAAAGTGAGCGATATGCCCGGGAATGTTCTGAGGGGCGCCGAGTTGTCGAGCATTGATGGGCGCTGGGGGATCCGCCAAAGTGATCTAACCAACGAAGCCGACAATGGGCAAAATATTGTAGGATTTCCGGACAGCATCTCGACTTTGAAAGAAAACGGTCAGTGCTGATCTACCTGTCCAACGAGGACGACGATCAGGCCCTTAAAACGATGGGGGCGACGAGTGCAATGGCGGCTTGGTAAAGAATTCTTAAGCGTCGCGCATGATGACATAGGGTCTTGGTGATCTTCAGCAGCGTCGGTGGAGCGGCCTGGTGAGGAATTCTGCGATCTGGCAGTAAAGATCGGCGGGCATCCTTGCCCTCCACGCCCCCTCTGGCCAGCGAGCGGCGCCAGCCTTACTCTAGAAGATAGGGCATAGGAATCAGCGTCGTGGTGTCCCTGCGGCCATCACCTAGCAGTCCAGGACCAGGGCTGGGTGGCCAGCCCCCCGCGTTCGGTCAAGTGCGGGGCAGTAACGTAGGGCATCGGCATGTTTCCACCCATCCCGGGCGTGCTGTGGTACGTCCTGTAAATGCAGGTATGCAGGCACGAAGGGTGCTGAAGCACCTCGTAGAGAATGCGGCTGGAGTTTGTGCGTGCGTATCGCAGACGGGGGAGCTGCCTATCCTGCCTGGCTGATAACAAATAGCAGGTCGGCAGGCAAATGCATCTTTTGCGACGAGCGAAGAATCGAAGTGTGCCAGTAGCCAGGACGTGGCTGCTAGGGAGACGCTCCTGTGTGGGTGATACGAGCTGGCGATGAGGGCGACTGAATCATTCCAGACCGCAGGGCGAGGATAATGTCGGTGATTGATTGCCGCGCACACTTCTAGCACAGGACGGCGACTTGGTAAGCTGATATCATGTTCGAGACCGAAACATTCGGGGCCGAGTTTGTCGTTGGCTGTAAACGTCGGATCGATTGTTGTACCGTGGCAGTGCCCTGGTGAATGCGATGTTGACGAGATGGTGGGGGAGCTGGATAACGACCGGCTTTCATCTGCCGGACTATAACTCCCGCCCGGAGATCGCGAATGCGATTGAGCTCGAGGGACAATACCTCGCAAAGAGTGGTTCATTTCGAAAGAGCCAAGAGGAGATTCTCAGCAGTGTTTCCTTGGCGTGTATGCAGTTTGTGTCGAAATTGCTGGCATCGTCCCAAGGATGAATGAGCATTTGGCGTGAATTTCCGATTGACGATGGCTTCTTCGATAACTGAACCCGGGTAGACATCTCGAGACTAGATTCAGGTACAGGGGTACGCAGCTCCCACGGTGGCCATGAGATGGTTGTCACGGGACGAGTACGGATCCTATCGGGTGGTGGTGGTGAGATGTGACGGCAGCGACTTTGTGTTTTCGATGGCGTTCGTCCGGGGTTGGACCTGGTCGGTGTCAGGGCCTGGGTCGCACCGAGCTTGACTGTGGCCGGGCAAGGGAGGGCCGCCCTCGATGGCTGATGTCGAGAACGAGTGCCTGGTCTCGGTCTCTCAGACGAGGGGCTCGCAAGAGAACCACAGAAAGTATTGTGTGGCGATGGTCCATTGTCGCTATGATGCCAACGTGATTGGCGAGAGTTGAAAAGCCCGTCACTCCCATCCTTCTCCTAGCCGGGCGGTCTGGTCTGGTGGTGGTGTCCATCCAAGGGAAGGGCCCGATGAGAGGGTTGTGAGGGTGTGCCAACAGAGAAAAAGTACGCGAGTGTGAGTGGGCTGGTGGGTTGGCGTGCGTCTGGTGTGCGGCATCCCTTGAGCCAAGACGAAGCCGCGAAGGAAGTCGTGTCGATAGTCAGAGATCAGAGACTGTTGGTAGGTATCCGTGGTGTACGGGGTAGCTTGGGTAGAGCTGGAGGAATTCGATGCGTCTCAGGATGTTGGTCCGGCTGGAATGGAAAAATTGCTGCCGAGACGGAGCTGAGGTTGTTGTTGAGGAGGAGGAGGAGGAGGTGGTGGTGGTGGTGGTGGTAGTTGATGGTGGGTGGTGACAGGCGGCAGATGCGGAATGGACGTTGGCAGATGGCAAATGGCAGATGAGTAAGGTACGGAGGTACGGAGGAGAGGACACAACATGGAAGGAGACAACGTGGGCAACGGCCGGGCATGCGGAATTCTCGGCTGTCAGTCTGAGACGAAAAGGGAGAGTCCAAACCGCTGGAGAATTTGGATGACTGGGTGATTACCTTACTGCGTACCTTCCCTTGGAATAAGGTACATTCAGGTACCTTACCTTACATAAGGTGGAAAATGCAAGATGGAAATGGAACCGAACAGAGACAGATGCAGCACCTTGATGAGCAACAATCTACATCGGGCAAGAAAGAAACACCAACGGCGGAAGCGACGATGTCGGTTCTTTCCCGGTGCTGAGTGACCGTGCTTGATCCTTCCTCTCCATTGTTCAGACTCGTGGAGTCCGGCCCCACTCAGTGTTGTCTTCGCCTGCCTGTTCCTGTTGCTGATCTGCCATGTCACGTTCCCGTCGTTCCTGCCTTCTACCTAATGGAAAGGTAAGGCAGGCAGGTCCAAGAAATAAGGTACGAAGGCAAGGTAGACACGTGTGGTGCGGCACAACGGCACGAATAAGATGCACATTCTCGCCCGGTGGCATGACTTGGCCAGACACATTTAATCAATATGCTTCCCGTGGCTTGTGTCTACCATCATGCGACCCGCGGTTTGGCAAGATACCATCTTTAACACAGTAGTCGACCCGACACGGAACACTCACTATCTGCATCTGGACCCGTGTGCCTCACCTTGGCTGATGCTTGCGAAACGGAAGCGACGGAAGGGAGGAAACGCAACAAGGTGTAATGGGCCGGGGCTGAGGACTGGCAGATGCCTGGTTGTCGCCTCCGGCACGCCGTGCTGTCCCGGTCTCCCGTTGAGAAAATCACCCGTCTTGGTCCGTGTCGTCGTTCGCGGCTCGTTTATCTGGGGATGAGGGGTTCCGCTCTACCACTACACCTGTTACCCTGACGTGGTTGACTAAGTGGTTTTGCTTATCGTCCGGATACTTGACGAGACACATAGCGACGCACATATATCTTGGATTAAGCATTGTAAGCCTTGTAGAAAGGCATATATGTAAGGCGCATATCGGTACCAAGGGACATCTGTCTCTGGTAAGAAACCTTAGCACATCGTACCTTCCAGGTCCACCTCAGGTTGATGGAAGACGGAACGGCGGCGCCTCGATTGCGGGGTGGATTCTCGCTTGGCGGGTGACGGGCGACGGGCGACGGACTGAGCGCACAGGCCCCGTGAGTCTTTCCCCTCTTGGCCATGGCTTTTTATAGAAAGGAAGGCCCCTGCCCTGGGCTCTGGGAAGCCTGGAAGACGTTGACAGGGCCACGGCCAGGGACAGGCACGGGAGACGGGGGTGGCACTGGTGGGAGAGGAAAGAGTTGAGAGTTTGAAGGTCGCAGACGGCAGACGCCAACACCTGGTCCCCACTTTGAGGTGCCTGGGCTAAGGCGACGCTAAGCTGTTAGTGGTGGCTATTAAGACCTGAGGATGCGAAGCTGGGAATAAGTTGAGGTGCTTACCTGAGAAGAGAGAGGGAAAAAGAGAAGGCGGCCACTCAGGGTGCACCCAGCCCCTCGCATGGTGCAGCAGAAAAAAAAAAAGAAGAGGGGCGGGGTGATGGAGGGGGAGGGGGAGGGGTGAGGGGCACAGTCCGTGTACCTTTTCCATGGAAGACACAGCCAAGGGGTACATGCGACACATCATCCCGCCGTCCAAAAGGGACTTGCGAGTTGCGACCGCCGATATCTTACCTTAGAAAATGGACTCCGGTTCAGTCAGGTAAGCGCAACGGAACGGGTGGATATATTTTCAAGTCCAGCCAGGCTGGGAATGCGCCTCTTGTTTCCAATCCCGTCTTCTTCTCCTGCCTGCCTCCTTCCTGCGTTGACCACCTGCACCGACCACTCGTTTTTTCCATGTACTCCGTACCTACGGTGAGCAAGGAACAGAACATTGAAGTCAGGGCCAGGCACCGCACCTGGTCCCAAGGTGCGGCGCGCGGCTTGCGGCGTGCCTTCTTCAGGAACATCGTGTTGGACCCGTCTTGGTGCATCAGCTAAGGCACGGAAGTAAGGCAGGCCAGGTCGGGTAAACCGTAAAGTGCCTCAGGTACAGCAAGTGGCTGCCTCAAGTAAAACTAATCACCTTTCCGTCTTGTTCCTGACTGTTTTCTGCGTGATGTAACGGAGAAAGGTACGGGTGCCTTATACCTACTACATTATACGTATTGGTGAGATACATTTACGGAGTACCTACCTTATTAATGTGTAGGTATTGTGGAAGGCGCGGATGGATCGAGGCTGCATGTCATTGCCAGAGTCATCCTTCCCTGTTTGTTGCTGCCGTGCCGTCCGTACCTGACCTGGACCTGACCAAACTGACTTTTCACTGACCTAGGGAAGGTACCTTACAGTGCACAGTAACAGTAAGTGACCTCGCCCCTGCCCAAGTGAACCTTGTAAGTTTGGCTGTGCCTTCTTGAGTTGCTGCCCGTCGTCAGCCCGCGCAAAGTTCGGGCTGTGCCTTCCATTCGTCGCATCACCGGGCCTTGGCTTGTACCTTATCGCGTTATCCGCTTATCCTTATCGCCGCCCCTCCGTCGTCGCCGGTCAATTTGCCCAGCTGTCCAGGTCGGGTCATCCCTCCACCTACACCGTGGAAAGCCACCACACAGGCACAGCACATCATCTCTTCCAGATTCGATCCTCTCTACTTGAGGGATCCTTGGATACTTACGTTGCCTTACCTTAATTGCTCTCTCCATCCATCGACATATCGAGCCATCCCATTGTCACCAGCGTACTGCTGGAAGAAATGCGCACTCAGCCAACAACACATTGACGACGCCGAGCCGAGCCCCCCAATCCCCGACCGCCGGCACGCACACTTTTTTCAACATCATCAATATTCCGTACCATCCATCCACCACCTCTGACGCTCTTACACGGATATCCATGATATCTCGCCCAGTGACACCTTTCAGCTTCCGTCACCAACCTCCCACCGCTCGTTGTCGCATCCACATCGTTCAAGACCACTTTCCACAGATACCTTCTATACACGACACTATTACCGATACAGCACCACACCACCCTAGTCGAATACCTACACTACCCTACTTTGTACACCAAGCAGCCGTGCCTCGGAGGCCAAGCATTCACGCATCCACGCACCCGCCCATCGTGGCACCGAATGCATCCTGCCGTTTATCCCTTTCGCGTCCGTATCCGTCCAACTTTGTCCCCGCCTACTCTACCGCCTACCCCTGCGTAGGGTAGCAGCACAGCGCATCGACAAGGAAAACGCCGCCAAAGTCAAAAGGTCCAGCTGCCAGTAGCACAGGCAGGGCAAGGTTCTCGACGGTGCGGTACCTTGCTGTACGGCTACCGCTACAGCGTAATCCACAGGACGGGAACCCACTGCCTGGCGTACGTATCAACCACCAGCACCCGCAAAAGCATCACCACCAACGACGGCGGCATCAAACTCCAAATACGGAGTATTACAGCGGCGCATCGCAACCTCGGGCCAGGTACCTCACCTCACAGACTGGCTTGGCCGCCCGTCCTTTTTGACTTTGACCTCGTCAACCTCACACCTCGCAACTCGCACCCGTCAACAAACCCCTCCGAGCTCCCAACCTGGCCACCAATCCCCTGCGGTGCCTCGACCTTTCATCCTTTGTTCCTGGCAAACCCTCGAACCCACGGACAATATTTTCCAAGACCAGCATTCGCATTGCATCCCCCGTCTCTGCTTGTGTGCCTGCACTCGATCAAGACAGACAGACAGCCAGCCAGCCAGCCATAATCGGTACCTTACGTCTGGCCCGCTGCCCTGTCTGGCACTGGCCACGCCGTCACAGCAACTCCGCCAGCCAACCTCCTCGTGTGCCCCTCGCCCTGGTGGTGGCCCGGCGCTGGAGTCACCACGTTCTCCTCCCTCTCGCAGACGCCTCGTCGCTTCTCGTGCCCCGCTACCTTAGCGACTTGGGCTGACCGTCGCCTACACCTCGCTCGACACTGTCCTCCGTTTCTCACGCGCCCGTCAGAGACCATCGACTGCCAGTTTTTTCAAGGCGTTTTCCCGCCCGCAGACGGATGAGAAAGCCCCATTTCCCACCGTTCCGGCCACTCTCGCCTCCCGTCCGTCTCCAGTCCGTCCTAGTCCTGGGACATCGACCTCGACCTCGACCTTGACCCCCTCCCAACCGCCCGGCTGACTGGGATCTCACACCAAGCCGTCTGACTTTCATGTACCCCTTGTACCTCCCGCCAATCGACTCCACCAATACCACTACCGCCGCCAGGTCCTGGTTCTGACCCTGACCCTGGCGTCCGGCCCTGGCGTCCGGCCCTGGCCCTGGACCTGGCCTGCCTTGGGTCCACCAACTCTTTCTCGCACACGAGTACCGCCAGCGCTTCCGTGTGCTGTGACCATCATCAACTACTTACGAATCCTCCCTCGCCCTCACTGCAGGCCATACCATTTGTCCCTCCCTCTCCCTCTCTATCATTCTCAGCAAATTCGGTGCTCAGAAAATTGCCAGGCCTCTGACATATAACATATCGCCAAAGAAGACTCTTTTGTTCCCTTTGGCCCCTACTCCAAGAATCAGGACCATCACAGTCTGCTCTATAACGCTCGGTACTTGAGCTGATATTCGGTCCATACGGATACTGCAAGTCAGCAACCTCTGAAATCGTCTACCAAAACGCAAGGCACCCAGCTTGCAAACCCGTCAACTCGGATCTTGATTGGCATTGGACCGGACTACATTGGCTCTGCGATAGCCCACAGACACTCCCACCCAAATTCGCCGACTTGGTGCGCCGGATCCCCCAAGACGTACACGACGCACACCCCCAAGAGGAGGCTGGTTGGTTGGCTCCTCCAACCCATCTTAGACAAACTCCGCCCAGCTCTCGACACTACCTGTCGCTAGACTCGAACGAACGCAAGCAGGCGTAAAGCCGGAGGCAGGGGGAAGAAAAGTCAGCGAGGAACCACTGAGAACCACTTTACTGCAGCCAGCAAGGTCAGATCAGGGCACGTCTTTCATCATCGACCATTCATCGCCACACTCCCCTGGCAGGTCCTTTTCTAGAGCCGCCTGCCCCTCGCCTTGCTGTCTCCGTACCAACTTGTCTCTCTTCTCTTCGTCCTCCACTCTGCTCCGTTATACTACGAAATACGCAGTCGGTATCCGTCCTCAACCGCGCTACCGCTACCAAACCGGCCTTGCACCTTGTTCCAGCAGACCACCCCACTCTCCCAGGCCCGGGGGGAATAGATCATCGACGTCGGTCGCACTTCCATCGGCGCTCTACGATTCTCACCTCTACACACATCCGGCTCACGACACCTTTGTCGCCCTTTCAAACCCCGTTGCTGCCGCCGCCACCACCAACATCACCACCACCACCTCCCCCTCGTCCTCCTCTACACATACTTGGAACGGAGAGACATCCAAAGAGTTCGAAACCAGACAGCAACTTCTCGGATGACTTGATTCAGATTCGGGACATTTTTTCTTCTTTCTTCTTCCCTTTACCCCCTCTCATTCCGCCCTTTCCCCGCCCTTCTTCAGCCCGCCCTCTCTCCCGGCTCAAATCATTCTCAAATACCACCTTCCGCAGCCTGCACTCCCCGCACCTGTGTTGCTTTTGTGCTCGACTCGGCCTCGCGAGCCTACGTCCGCATTTTCTCCTCCACAGCGAGAGGATTCCACCAGGCTGTCCTCTTCGACGCCCGCTTATCCTGAATCACAGCACAGTTTGAACATGGCCGCTGCATTTAGACCAGTAAATTCGCCATTACCTGGCGCCGATGTAAAGATGGACGACAAGATGATGACGACGTCACCAACTACACCGAAGCCAAGCACTGCACCGCTCCCGCGCACACCACAGCCCATGGCCGAGGATGCGAAGACGCCCACGAAAGCAACGTTCAGCAGTGGCAGCGGCACTACCGGTCTGGCATCCCAGAAGCCTTTGCCAAGCTCGCCATTTCCCCAGGCTATTCAGGTTCCCGAGAGTGCCGAGAAGGTCAAGACCCCGACAAGAGCAAACTCACAACACTCAAGGAGATCAAGGGACTCGGAGGATGTGGACATGGACGAGTCCGACGGCGAAGGTGACGAGGGATCTGACGATGACAGCGTGAATGCCGACGGTACCAGATCCAACAAGAAGAAGAAGTCACAGCGATTTTATTGCACGGATTACCCGCCCTGCAACTTGAGTTTTACCCGAAGCGAACATTTGGCCAGGCACATTCGGTAGGCCCTCTAACGTCTCCACAGACGGCGATCTTTGCTAACCGTCCCAGGAAACACACCGGCGAGAGACCATTCCAGTGTCACTGCTCGCGCCGTTTCTCCCGTCTCGATAACCTGCGACAACACGCACAGACGGTGCACGTCAACGAGGACATCCCCATTGATTCCTTGGCAGCGACTGGTGCTAGGTTCCAGAGGCAGATGCGCACTGAGCGTGTGCGTCAGCAGGGCGGCAGGGCTCGCGCATCAACAGCTGGCAGCGCGCCTGGTCCCGTCAGGGGCCACTCCAAGTCTCTCTCGACATCCAGCATCGCCAGCGTGGGCTCTATTGGGTCAGCGTTTGGTCCCCGAGACGACATCCGGCGACGGCCGCCGCCTCTCGTTATGGCAAGCGATCCCCGCTCCCGCCTGTCACTCGAATCGTACCGAAGTGCCGGAGACGGTCCGTACGGCTACCGCCCTGTCTCGCCAACTGACTACAGCACACCGACGTCAGCGACCTTCTCTACTGGCCAAAGCAGTCCGCGATGGGGTTCGGCAATCGCTTCTCCCACCACCACGCACTCCCGATCTCACAGCATGTACTCTTCTGGCTCCCGGACTCCGGGCCGGCGACTCAGCGTGCCCTCCGGCGTCAATCCTTTTCAGTCACCGCACGGCGCACCGGTCAACAGAATTGTCTACGGCAATGGGCCTGTCAATACTTCCAACATGGGAGCCTTCTCCCCCGCCCCCAGCAGCCACTTGGCATCGCCGACAACGCCGACATCAGCATGGTCTGGCAGGAGGGATTCGACCTCGTCTAACGCAGACGAGGCTTGGCGCAGGCGAACTTGGCATCCCGACACGAGGACCTTCAATACCAATACCAGCCACCTCAGCAACGTACTCACTCCCGGTCAGCTTCAGCCGAATCCCGCGCCGCCCATCGCCAACGCACCCAATCCTCAGCAGACGCTTCGGTTGCCTGGCATTGAATCCTTTGACCCTCTGCCATCGAGACAGGTGTCGCCCCCAAGACGAATCCCGTCCCCGATGATGGTCGACGCGGAGGGTGGTCACCGCCGGCCCATGCTGCCCGGCACCGAAGCTGTCGCTGATGAACGGCGGAATGTGGCCCAATGGGATATGAGCTTGCACCGGGGCCTGACAAGACTGGACATTGCCTCCAACACGACACCTCCTCGCGATAGCGCCGGGGCGTGGGCAAACGAAGTGAACCAGGCAGTGCAGGCACAGGCGGAGCAGGTTCGCTTGAACCCGCCGACTGTGAGATTCGAAGTCGACCCGCCGTCATATGCCAACTCGGGTGCATTCACTCGCAACCACCAGCACACGATGTCGGCGCCGTCATTTGCACACAGGGACACAAAACGCCACGGATGGTACCATGGTCCTATGGGAAGCAACATTCACGGACCTCGCCCGGAAGCGCCCAGCCAAGATCCTCGCGGACCCCATGTCAACCGTATGGTTCATCCCAACATGGGTCACTTTGCTGGTTTTCCGGGACGACAGCCTGAGCCGCAGCAAGCCCAGCAGCAACAGCCCGGCAACCCTGACCCTCTGAGACGTTTGGAGGCGCTAGTGGCCGTTGCCACGAGCGAGGGAACCACTGCCACTGCGTACTGAGATTCTTTTGTGAATCATCATGCGCTTCTTTACAGCCCTTTCGCCATGTGCCGAGAGGCGATGGTACATATACGCAACACGACTGACGAATTTCCTTTTCCCTTACTTGGAATCCATGTCGGCAGAGCTTTCAGTCTCTGCATGACATACAGTCGCTTTCTCATCATGATATCCCGTTTTCTATCAAGTTGGTGGGCAGCTGCATTTTATCTATGGCAGGCGTTGATACATAGCGTTGAATTTGATTTCCTATCTCTCTGGGTGTCACCACCCTCATCTCAGCTCATCTGGATTACGGTCGACTTTTCCACTTTCTCCTTTTGTTCATCTTTCCTTTCATTTTGATATCCTGCTTTCCACATTTACGGTTTCCTTTTCAGTTTGCCATCAGGTTTGGTTTACCATTGACGGTTTTCTCTTTTTTCTGGCAGCGATTCCGCAAGTAGAATTTCCTTGTCTTTGTTTTTGATTCCCCGTAACGCTTGCTCACGATCAATGAGATACCCACTCATTCCGGGATGATGGATTCAGTGGTGGATAGTAATGTGTCGCTCTCTCGGCGGTTGAGACAGACGGACAGTCGGCCTGCACGCATGTATATGGAAGCAGGCCAAGGAACGGAGGCAAAGGATGGCGGATATGCGTGTGGACGAGATACCCGAGCTTGGTAACGACCGGCAGTTCTGATTTATCGGAAGCCTGGTCGATGCTCACAAAGTTGGAAGCGATGGTTTCAAGGCCATCACCAAGGATCGGGCGGTATACATGTGTCTGTAGGCGTACAACCGGAAGGAATAACGACGCACATGCTTTCAATGATTATCTTATCTGGAAACTCTACCATCTCTCTCCTGGTGAACTGTGTGGTCTATGAATTTGCTTGTGATGAGGGGAAGCGTACTAAAGTAGGGCGAGGGACGGCCAGCCTTTTTATGCACGATGATGTGGTTCATGTAAGCGGTGCTGCAGCTTGTCTGTCAGCCGCCAGCCAATGAAGCAAGTTCAGTGACGGCGATCAAGATTGCGCCGGGTTAAAACTTTGATTAGGGGAGGAATGACGGACGGAACGATCTTCGAAGATGGCCGTGTACGGGGTGCGGATATGTGCAGCCCGGCTCTTTCGGAGGAATGCCGATATTGTCTGCCGAGTTTTTTCTTCAGCGGTCAGGCCGTTGGGGGGTGGATCTGAGGGACCGGGATGAAAAAATGCCGGTTCTATGCCGGTATAAACCCCATCCCACATCCCCTGCCTGTATAGGTTACTGGAGCTGTTTTCTCATTACTTCTGTGTCTTTTGAGGTTCGGGTTTTGGGCGGGCTCCGGGAGTCCGTGGGGTATCATTGGCACGTTGAATGAGTCTGAGTGGACTTTGGCCGTTCTTGGTTTTCTTTCCGTAGTATAAACAAAGTAAGTGAGTAAGTGAGTAACAAGGAGAGACCGAGTGATGGAAATCGACGGCTGCACGATATTTTCGAGTAGGGTTTCCAGGTCGCCGATGAGGCTCGATACAGGATACGAGCTCCTTTTGCTTTGAGGAAATTCGTCCCATGGTTAAGTATGTTTCGAGATTGGTTCGGGAGTCGGGCGGAGCGGCTACTGGTAGTTCCCCAGTTTGAGTCCGGTAACAACGCGGGGAGAGAGGAGGAGGAGGGCGGGGAAAGGATGAAGAATTGGAACCAGGAGAACGGAGTTGTTAGCTTGACACTTTGGGATCCACAATGTTACAAGAGACGAACGGGGCCGAGGGATGGGATGAGTTTTAAATACCGATTTGCCGGATGCTGCCCTCTGACTCTGTCTCTTAAGAAGTACGGAAACTAGTTTACACCCTCTTTGTAGATCTCTCCATCTCTTTTCCCGACTACAAGACGAATACATTCTGAGCACATCATGTTCTCTACACCACCGAGGTCCCCGGGCCTCCTCGGGACGACACTCCTCACCCTCGCCGCCCTCACGCCCTCAACCTCCGCATCCACATCCGCAAAATGCGACCCTTCGACCTTCACATTCCCCTCCCTCCCAGGCCTTCAACACATCAAAACAACAGCCGTCCAAGTCCAAAACTACACTTCCTTCCCAAACCGCTTCTCCGAGGCATCCCTCGCGACAACATCCGCCTCCACAACCGGCATCCCTCCCTTCTGCAACGTCACCGTCTCGTACACGCACCCAGGCCACGACGACATCGTCAACGTACACATCTGGCTCCCCCTCGAGAAGAACGCGTGGAATGAGCGGTTCATGGGGTTAGGTGGCGGCGGGTTCGTCGTCGGGGAGGTAGATGGCGATGGGCCGAGTGCGGCTATCCAAGAAGGGTATGTGGCTGCTGTCACGGACGGCGGACACCTCGCGAGTTTGCCGCCTGATGTGTGGGCGCTGCGAAGCCCGGGGAATATTGATTGGCCGCTGTTGGTCAACTTTGGATATCGGAGTCTGCACGAGCTCGCGGTCGTGGGGAAGGCCGTGCTGAGGGCGTATTATGATGCTGAGGAGAGGTATAGCTACTTCAAGGGGTGTTCGACGGGCGGGAGGCAGGGACTGGCTGTTGCGCAGCGGTATCCATGGGACTTTGACGGGGTGCTGAGTATTTGTCCTGCGGTGGAGTTTCCTGCTATGGTGACGTCGTTGTATTTCCCGCAGTTGGTTATGCGGTGGAGGGGGTATTGGCCTTCTGGGTGTGAGTTGGGGGCGGTGGTGAAGGCTGGGGTTGAGGCGTGTGATCTGGGTGATGGGAGGAGGGATGGGGTTATTGGGAGGTTGGGGGAGTGTGGGTTTGATGTTAGGACGGCGGAGGGGAGGGAGTTTGCGTGCGAAGATGGGAGGAAGGGGAGGGTTTCGAGGGAGGCGGTTGAGGTTGTTGAGGAGGTTGTTGGGGGTGTGCTGGATGAGGAGGGGGGGGAGATGTTTCCGAGTTATGTTCCTGGGACGCAGTTTGCTGGGATTCTTGCTATGATGAACAGTGTCTGTGAGGACGAGACGGATCGGACGCGGTGTGTAGGCGTGCCGTTCTCCGTGACAGATGAGTGGATACGGCTGTTCATTGAGAAGGATCCTGCGTTTGACCCGGCGTCGATGTCGAGGGAGACTTTCCGCGACGTCTTCCGGCGGGGAGTTGAGGAGTTTGACTCCGTCATCGGGACGCCTATTCCGGATATGAGAAGATTCAGGGAGCGTGGGGGAAAGGTGCTTATGTGGCATGGCATGGCGGACCAGGCTATCTCTATCAAGATCGGACGGGGACTGTATGAGAAGGCTAAGGGGATCGAGGCGAATCGCGGGGTTGAGATTGAGAAGTTTTGGAGGTATTTCGAGGTTCCTGGGGTGAACCACTGTGTTTCGATGTATGGAGCGCCGTTTCCCTGGAGTGCGTTGGAGAAGTTGAGAGCGTGGGTTGAGGACGGGGTTGCGCCGGAGCAGTTGGATGCTAGGGGGTTCAAGATTGGGAAGGATGGGAAGGTGGTTGTTGATGAGGAGGTTAGAAGGATTTGTCTTTATCCCGAGGAAGGGGTTTGGGATGGGAAGAAGTGGGTTTGTGTAAAGCCCGGAGAGAAGATTGAGGTGATGGAGGAGAAGGAGGAGCTTTGAGTCAAGGGTTGTTGGATGTTTGCTTGAGGGCATCGAACAAGGTATCAAGGTAATGAGGCACGTTGGCTGTTCATAATCCGGCCATGATATTTATACATATGATATATACAACAACATCTATAACACCTCACTTCCATCGTCTGAAAGGATGCGCCTCGGTATTAAACACATACTCATCCAGACTCACGAGCCCAGGCTCACTAAAGATGAGATAAAAGTACTTCAACGTCTCCCCCATCCAGAACGACTCCATCGAGTCCGACTGAGGAGGCCGACCCTCAGCTGTGACATCCCACACCGCCGTATTAGCAAGTTCTGTACTCGTTGCGTTGTCAATGGACGAAAACATGTCCCACGCAGAGTCCAACAAGCTCGTGTCGGCCGTGGTGCGATACATGATGAAGACACTTTCAATCGCCTCCGGCCGGAGAATGTAGCGCCGGTCCGGAACGGCGGAGAATCCTGGGACGAGGCGGTCCTTTTTAATGATTTCATCCGCTGTGAGGACCTCATCATCGTCCTTCTTTTCCGCACGCTCGAGGACGTGCTTCTTGTAGAGGGCTTCATCCCATTTGCATTCTTGCTTGGAGGGGCAGGGGACCATGTAAAACGTCTCCGGCATGATGCCATGCGGGAAAGACTTGTAAGCATACACGCACCCGTCGACGAGTTTCCTCGCTACAGATACTTCATCAGGGTGGTTGGATAGCTTCCCGCCGAGTGCAAGAAGCCCGCCCATGAAGCAGACGAGGTGCTGGCCCTGCGGCTCCTGTTCAATAGTACGTACGCCGTTGGATTCGCGAGAGTGTGCCTGCCCCGCGATGAGGATATCTTCGTTGCCTGGGGTCATGGGACGGAAGAGGTTATGCTCGATGGCGGGCTTCACGGCGGCTTCGTACATGGACTTGTACATCCGGCTGCGTCCGCCGACGAGGGCGGACATTTTGGGGAGGTATTCGTAGAGGGAATCGGCCATGGCGCCGAGGGTGAAGTCGTCCCCTTGGTTGAAGACTTCGTCTTTTGGGTTTACGACGAGTGGCCATAGACCGGGGATGTTGGTTTTATTTTGCTGCCGTTCGAAGATTTCCATGATGCGTTGGGTTGCGTCCCAGAATTTGGGGTCGCCTGTAAGTATTGAGAGGCGAGTGAATTCCATTGACAGGCTTCCTATTTCCGCTACCAGGGCGCCATTCCCGACGTCCTGGGCGTCACCGCGGGCTGCATCGCCGACTTTCCAGCGGGTGATGGGCATGCGGTTGGGCGTGTCAAAGGCCTTGTAGAGCATCTCGCCGACCTCGGCTGCTTTCCGGAGGAGGCGGACGTCACCCGACAGATCATACGCCGAGAGGAAGCCGCCCAGGTATCGGATAGTCGTCTCAAAGACGTTGATTTCGTCGAGGTCGGTGTGTGCGAAGTCTATCGTCGCGGCGGCGGCGACAGCCTCGTCAAAATCTGACTTCATGTCCATGATCCAGAGGGTGTCGAGGGAATCCACGAGGGTCGCGGCCCAGCCTCCGAACGTGTTGCGCCGGCCGCCTGATACTGGTGTCAGTTCGTCCGAGAGCCATGCGTGTTTCCGGTACGATGACCAGGCTTTTTGAAAGGCCTTTTTGACGGTCTGTTGACGTTCTTCGCGGACGCGGCGTTCAGTGCTCGTCTCGGGTGGGAAATGAGCTTGGACTTGGGGGAAGCGGACGGATGGGACGGCGGGGAGTTGACGGAGGGGTTCCGGGGCCGGGTGGTGGACTTTGACGGTCCGCCAAAAGTATGTCTCGTCTTGTTCTGTCATCCATTCTATCGGTTTTGGCGGGATGGCTGATGAGGATGAGGATGTTGGGAATGTGGGTAGGCCGCCGTCGTTGTGCCATAGGAGAAGGAGGAGGAGGGAGACGGGGAGGCCTAGGAGGACGATGCCTGGCATTTTCCGCCTTGCCAGGAGCATCTTCTTTCTGTGTGGTTTTGGGAGTATCTAGGTCTCTTTGCACTCTCCGGTCTGGATACACACGTGTCAAACGTGGATATCGCGTCGTGGGAAGTGTGAGAAAGGAAAACACGCGAGGAAAGGCAAAAGAAAGAGAAGGAGAGCGAGAGGCCGAGACTGTTGCTGTTTCCTTTGCTTCGCGCCCAGAGTTTGGAGTTCGTTTACGTATTTTGGATTGCGGCCCGGCCGGATTCCTGTCCTTATCAACCCTCGTTTGTAAGTTGTTAGTGGGAAACTCGGAATGGGCCTCAGGGGTTGCGGGCTTGTTTGCTCGTTTATCTCCTTCTTTGCCTTATTTTTGTTGTTCCCCCGTTTACTGCGCCGCCCGAGATGGAAGAGGCAGAAGAGGGGGCGGGAAGTCGGGCGCTTAAGGATTTTGGGTTGCTGCGCGGGCGGCGGCGCCCCTGGCAGTCATTCTCAATGCGTATGCATGTGAGGTCTGTTGGTTTGCGCACTGGTTGTGATCCTTGTCGTTCACAGCTTGGCGGTTGATCGCAACCGGTTTGGCGCGGAGGAGTGGATGGTCTGAGGGCTCAGAGAGGGACGCAAAGCAGACGCATCTCTCACGCAGCTCTGTGTGCCTGGAATTCATACGGCATGATACGGATAAGCGATCGAGGCAGCGCAGTAACTCTGGCGATTCGGGTATATGACCACTTCGGCTCGCCGCAGCGTCGACTTTTGTCTGTTGGATCAGGGATCATGGGTAGCTCGGTCTGGGCACGGCGAGTGTCGTTGCACTAATTAGCACCCCTCGCTTCAACTCCGGGCCTCCGGTCTTGCTGGCCTAAGAGGAGAGTCAAATCCAAGTGCGTGGGATGATGTCTCCATGTCGAGCCGAGCCAGATTCCAGAGGTACAGTACCCGGGCTTCATGGCGTCAAAGATCTCAACGGCCCACGATAAAAGGTTGAACGGCGACCACATCAGAGACCCCTCAAGGCTAACTGCTGCACAGTAGTAACGCGCGCTCAAAGTGCCCATTCTAATTTCGCTCAATATGCAGCTTAACGCCGGGCAAAGTGATGTAAGTGGTCGTACCGTTCCGTCGGGACGGAGAGCCCGCTTGTGGCTCTGTGTCATTGGTTATGTTTCTTACTAGCTTCAGGATATGAACATGGGTGCTGTCTTGGCCATCCTATCACAGCAGATGAGACTGTCGGCTTTTATGCTGGGACCTGAACCAACTGACGGATCTGCATATTGGAGAGACACTGTGTCGGCAGGTGGAAGAAAGACAGTGCGAGAGAGTGTTCGATGCCTCCGACTATCGTGGCTGTTTTAGAGTTGACCGGATTCTGTTGCAGGAGGCTGAAAAGGGTTGGGCGTACCAGGCTGTTCTGGTTTGATGTGAGTGTCTGAAGTGAGCGGCGCAGCCCGTGGAGCTGGAGTTGCGGTGGGAGTTGTGGCAAGTAAGAAAGAGTTGATAACTTGCTGGTGCCTCTCTGCAACCCTCTTGTCACAATCTGGGTGTTTGCCTGCCTCTCCCTTGGGAAATTGTCTCTATCCTTCCGGGAGCACCAATTCGTCAAGTTCAGTCTGGAACCTGGAGTTCCGGGTTGAGAAAAGCGACAGCATCATGACATCTTTTGCGTTCTTATTTCTCCTTATACTCAACGTTCTCCCCCAAGTGGCACGAGTGAGGGCCGCCTGCTACTACCCAGACGGCAGCATCGCCCCCAACGATACACCATGCCAGGACCTCACGGCCGAGTCGACGTGCTGCGGGCAGGGCTACGCGTGCCTCTCCAACGGTATGTGCCAGGCGACGGGAAAAGAGTTATCCAAAGACGGAGCCACAGAACTCGTGAGGGGAGCGTGTACCGACCGATCCTGGCGGAGTTCGAGTTGTCCTCTGTTCTGCATCAACCCCGAGACGGATAACGTGGCTGGTGGCATCGGGATTGCGAAGTGTGACGGGACGGTGGAAGAGCTGTACTTTTGTATCAATTCGGTCATGAATACGGTCAACTGCACAGCCAAAAAGAATGTCTTGTTCTTCCAACGTAAGTTGTTTGTGTTCGTTTTACTCCTGTATCTTGTTGTTTCCGAATTTCGCACAACTCTTTTGGAAGAGTTCTAATCAACTTATCATCGCAGAATCTCCAACTGCCATTACAACAATCGGCGTGGCAGCCACACCAACTCCATCATCCTCGTCAACGACATCAACGTTAATCGCCACAACATCTAGTATAGCGTCTTCTGCCAACCCTTCGAGCGCACCAAACCCGAGCTCGGTAGCACTGAGCAGCGCAACCCAAAGCCCCCAAAGTAGCCCTACAAGTAGTCCCGGAACCAGCCCCAGCGTAGAGCCGGAAGCAACAAATGATAAGACAGTCATAATCGGTGCGGCTGTAGGTGCTTCCGTAGGTGGTCTCGCGCTCGGGGTCTTGGCGGCATGGCTATTCATCTTCCTCCGTCGACGAAAGCGCCGTGCTCGAGAAGAGGCCGCCGCCAACGCCCAGGCACAGGTGGAACATTATACGCCAGGTCCGCCGCTTGCTAAATACGTCAGTCCGCCCGTATTTAATCAGGTTTACGAAGCGCCCAATGAGTGGAAACCTCCGTTGGTCTCGGATCACTTTGCTCCCCAGGAGCTGCCTGCGTGGCAACCGGAGCCTCGGAGAAGCTGAGCTGCTATAAGTCGAGGTCGTCGCTTTTTTGTATTTTCACCTTATGATAGCATGTAATGATACCACAGTCGGCTTTCGGTAGATAGAAGCATTCCTGAACATGATAGATAGTATATTCTGTCTCACGAGTTGAATTGGTCGGACGCCTGGATGATTTGAAACCGAAATGTTTATGTACTTTTATAACAATACTCAATACAAACAAGAAAAAGACCCATGACTAGACTAGGGGGGTATCAATAGCATCATCTCGCTTAGTACCAAAGAGCCTTGTTCCAGAACTTGGCCTGGGCATTCGCCAGGTCGTCCTCCTCGAGGTAGAAGGTGGTGTTGAAGACGAGCTGGGTGCCGGCGGCAGAGCTATTGCCGTACTGGGGCCACTCA